TTTTTTTTAAAAAAACCCAATATTTTTCACAGTTAGAGACGGGGGAAGATTCTCTCTAGCAGTTTTTTCAATAAGAAAATTTAATTTGTGGCAGCTGACTCATTTCTGACCTAACCAATTAAGTTCTATACATATCAAAACAAAACCAAAGTTACTTCATCTTTCAAAACTTTTAGAAATTTTAATTCGGTATATTATAAAAGCAGTATAAAAAAGTGATTATGCAACACAGGCAAAATCCAGATCACTCTTATTAGAAGGGTGGTCTGCTAGAGATCTGTATGAAAGCTATATGAAAACATGAGCCACTGAAATCCCAGGGCAGGGCAGGATGTGATTCCAAGAACTGGATATACCAGTCTGGGCTATCCTATCAGCCATGAGACCATTGGGTTTAGATTCAGGCACAGAATCCATATCCTGTTGTGGCTGCAAAAAACTGCTTCCACGCACCCAACATGGGTCAGAAAACCTGCAGAGTTGCAATCTGGGTCAAGCAGAGTATCATTCTCACAGATCAGTTGTGCTGCGGAGGGGGGGGGAATACCCCTATCTCATGGATCCTTCCTAAGGTCACCTGCTTAGGTCCATGGTCGGAAGTTGTGCATTCGTACTATAAATTCTGATTGCCTTCCAAGGAACACTCAAACACCATTCACCTCCCCATTTTACAAAGTGCTTCCGAAACGTGTCACATGTAACAAATGTTGGAGAAAACCCATGCAACGTAGTTTCAGACCCTGCCTTTCTCTTCCTTGAATTAAACTGAACATTGCTACATTTGTTATTATCATTTTCAGGACAAAGTCCAAATTGGTCAAAGCAGAGTACCATTTTTTTTTTTTGTCTTTTCCACTCAAGTGCACCACTGGCTGGTGAAAACTTAGGGTAGGTGCCAGATGGCTGAAGTGCTGTTTGAAAGGGGAACACTTTTGTTGACACAACAGAATACAAGCAAAGACGGTGTCCAAAAGTTACCTTTTGATCTCATAAATGAGCACATGTACTGTAAAAGGAATAAATTATCAGCATATAAAGGTCAAACTCCGTGAAGCCCTAATGATACACAATGTAAAACATACTGTTGTTGTACCTGCACATCATACAGGTAGACTATTGAATCATAATTTGCTTCGGTACATTAAAGATAATCTTCCCTGACCTGGAAACCTCCAGATGTGCCCTTCCTAATCTGCGGACAGAATGGCAAACACATCTGGAGGACGTCTGGTTTGGGAAGGATGCAGTATGAAGTGTAGACTGCTTCTAAATGCAAGTTCGATTCCTGTGCAAATTGCAATGTAGCTAGTCTTCTCAGTGCCAAAGTTTAACTGTAACTTGATTATAATTGGAAGCATTTGACTATGATTTTTTTTTCCTTTTTTTCCGGCATGCTTATTGCTGTAAAAAAAAGCCAACCTTATAAATCATTGTGCAAGAATTTTAATAAGATTTGCACACATTTCAAAAAATTCTATCGTGTGGCTCCCTGATCTTGGGGTTGATTCGCTTGTAGAAGAGTCAAGTGAAGAGGTCACTGAAGAGGTAAGAGATGCATCAGATGGTTTTGCTTGAATATCAGGGTCTGAGTCCTTCTGACCAGATCTATAACTAGTCAGAGAGCCTGACCTCTGGGGAGTGGTCGTCCCTGATTTTCCTTCGGTAATTTCATCTAGGGCAAGCAAAGAGAAGAATTTAAAGGCTAGAACAATTTGAGAAATTAATAAGGAAGACAAAATGTTAAAAGTCGCCATTCTACATATCCAGAATGAACAGGTTACCCTTATTATTGTTTCTAGTTGGTTGCACAGTGAACCAAGTGTTGAGACTGGATTTGGCTTTTTTATTCATCTAGAGCAGGGGTGTCAAACTGGATTTCTTCGAGGGCCAGGCTAGAATTGTAGTTCTCCGTGGGGCGGGGGGGAGATGGGTCGGACAGCTCCTGCAGCACTCTGCTGGCCAAAATGGAGCACGGGGGGGGCCTGAACAGCCTCCTGCAGCACTCTGCCGGCCAAAAGAGGGCGCAGGGGGGCCATGCACAGTCCTCCCGGTTTCATTTTGGCTGCCAGAGGCACCATGGGCTGCTCCTTTGCTATTTCCAGCCCAGCCCCGCGGACCAGATTTAAGCACCCTTGAGTTTGACACCCCTGATCTAGAGAGTGCTTCCCCAGGTTCTGGGATAGGCAGATGTTGTTGTCTGATGGTGTTAAATGTATCATCCAAGGATGGGTGTAATTCCAAATAAAGATGCCTTTTGCAATTGACTTATAGGGATTTGGTCAATGACAATGGTGTTCAAGTGGTACTCCAGATCTTTTGAGAATGTGCCTACTACTATTGATTATTGTTAAAATTTATTAAAAACACTCTGCTGAATTCAATAAAAGCTCGACTTTTTCCATAAGTGGCCAATCAATTCTAAACCAGGTTACACTGGTGTTTGCCATTCCATTGATTCTGAATATCTATCATCAATAAATATGTTGGAAGAAATGTCCATATGGGTTCAGTTCCAAGTGAGTAAAAAAGACACTGGATTCATGGAAATTGCTTGGAAAGAAGGTTTATTGATAAACAGGATCACATGGCTTGAGATTCTGGGCAAAAAGAGAAGAGATGCTGAGAGTGCCTGGGTTTTATGCCCTCTATTGGGCTTTGAATT